TCTGAGGTTTTATCTTGTTCTTTCTTTTGGAATATGTTCCCTTATCACCTCATTTTGCCAAACTTAATTGTTTTTATTTCTATGTATCTTGTAGGAGATGTTCTATGCATCCAAGCAGCACATCCCCCTCTGAAAACTAGAGCTATATGGTCTAGGGTTTCCTCTTATATGGGCTGCATTAATTCTTCTTTTGTGGCAGGCTGACTACTCTTGCCAGAGTAGTCAGCTTCGTTGGTAAGCTTCATTGGCCCCTGGACTAGTTGGTTGTCATATCCTGCTTTGTGTGGAGGCTGTTAGCCATTGTGTGGTGAGGCTAGGTCATGTGCCCTGAGGTACCCAGGGCCTAGTGCTGGCTCACCGTTGGGCAGGGTATGGTCCTGGAGATCACAGGGCTGACACCTGCCCACTGGTTTGTAAATCAGATCCTGAAGTTAGTGCGGCCTACTGGCTGGTAAAGCCTGGGGTCTGACCACAAGACCCGGGGGTCCTATGGTTGTATCAAGCTGCTGATGGATGGGGCTGCTTCCTGACACAGCTGACCGCAAGGTCTAGGGTATCCTGAAGCTTGTGTTGTCCTGCTAGTGGATGGGGGAAGGGCCCAGCCAGTCCAGGGTAAGTGCTGTCCTGTTAGGTGGGCTGAGCCCACAGGCTTCAGGTCCTTGGTTGTCCTGTGACTTGTGTCTGCCCACTAATGGATGAGGCTGGTCCTGAGGTTAGAGCAGGCTAGCTGGTGGGCAGGGCTAGGAGTTCTGGGGCTGATGGCTGCCCACTGGTGAGTGGAACTGGGTCCCTGGATCTCTGAATGCAAGGCCTGGGGGTGGGATCTGGTATAGTGCATGCACAAGAATACATGGGACCAGGCCTTCTGGTGAGCTGGGCCGTGTCCAGGGTGGCTGAAGCCTCAGGGGATCTTAAGATGGTCTGCCTCCTAGTGGGTGGGGCTGTGTACCAGCCTAGTGAATTGCTTGATCTGAGACACTCTGTCCTGTTCTGAGGCTAATAAGCTAGAGGAAAGATTATAAAATGGAGTTTGACAGCACCAGTGTCCATATGGTATAACAAGCTCCACAAAATTACTGTTGCTGTTGGCTCTGTCCCCAGAGTGAGCTCCAATTGCTTCCTGACTCTCTGGAGACTCTGCAGAAAAACAGGTAAGTCTGACTCTGACTTCTTTCAAATTACTGCTCTTGCTCTGGGTCCTGGAGACATGACATTTTGTTTGTTCCCTGTAAGTATGGCTTAAAAGGCTTGCCTGGTGACTCAGATGATAAACCATCTACCTGCAATACAGGAGACCCAGGTTCGATCCCTGGATCAGGAAGATGCCCTGGAGAAGGGAATGGTCACCCACTCCAATGTTCCTGCCTGGAGAATTCCATGGAGAGAGGAGCCTGGTGGGCTATATACAATTGAGCGACTGACTCTAAGCATGGAATCTCTTTTTCCCCCAGTCCTCTGAGACTCTTGAACCTGTTGCCAAAGGATATTGGCTCTCTGTGCAGAAATACCAAACAGAAATATAGAGACAGAGCTTTGGAGGAGAAGGAAAGAGTTGCTATATTTCTTTGCCAAGCAAGAAAGAGTATATTAGGGTTTACTGTTCATTTCACTGTGAATATTTTCTTGTTTACCTAGTGTTTAGGAATCACTCAACTAATTTTGGAATTTCTTTCAAAGGGAGTTGCTCCATGTATAGTTGTTCATTTGCTGTATCCAAATGGAAGAGGGATGTTAGGAGCCTCATATGCCACCATCTTACTCATTTCCATGTACAGCTCTTTATATACCAATCATCCCTCAATAAAGTGATATTTTACTAAACTATATGTAGGATTATGAAGCATACAAAGGCAAATGAGGAGAGGATAGTGACCAGTATTGTGGTATGAATTGCACATTGGGAGAGAAATATTAGAATAGTCAGGAATATTGATTGAGTTTTAAAGGTGTTCTGACAAAATTATAATTCTAGATTTTGACTGTTAATATTCAACTTTATTTCCTCTCATTAATTTTATAATAGCACCATTTGTCTTTTAAAGCCATTAAAATGGTCTTGTTGACATACAAAAATATTTTTTAATTATATAAGGGAAAGATGGGGAGAGAAAATGAGAGATAGAAACGGTGGTGGAGGTTTCATACGTTTCACTCAAAGTCACCATTAAAATGAGAGATATACTTTTATTTCTGCATTCTTCCCCTATTCATTTCTCAAGCTGGAATGTTACATACAGTTGACTGACCCTAGAGAATGATGCTGAATTTCCTTAAGAAATGAAGATTGAATTCCCTAGGATCAGACTCGGAGATAGCTATTAACAAACAGTAGATTTATTAGGGAAGCTCTTGGAATCCAAAATTGTGGAAGAGAAGGAAGGAATCAAGGCTGGAAGAAGGAGAAATTAAGAAATGAATAATAAATAATTCATTATGTGTCTTCGATGAAAGCCTTGGTCAACCTTTCAGTTCATTCTTAAGATCCAAATTGTGATAAGAGGGCCAAACCTTTCTACCATCCCTCATGAGTCATTGGATGCTCCACTTTTTTTTCCAGAAAGGGGACATGACATTGAAAGATGTGGCTTTCCTTAATGGAGGCAATCCCTGAAGGAGGCAGCCAACCATAAGTAATCTTCTGGCAGCACTCTTGAAAGTTAAGAAAATAAATCTTTCATTTTTGAAGGGAAATCTGGATAGTGCTTCACAATATTCTTCACAATAAGTGTAATTTGATGGCAACTGGAATTGAAGCTGCTCTTCTAGATATTTCTATAATCAATGAAACAAAATGAGTGGATCCCAGAAATTTGTTTCCAAATTTTGGTTTGAAATCAATATAGATATCAATTTCAACTCAGTACCTTCTTTCTTATCTATCAGACAGCCTCCTGGTAACAGGTGGACAACTTTGATCCTGTTCTGATGGGAGGACAGATCAGTACTTGTTTTCTTCAATATAACCAATTGTTGATTTGAATTTTCTTTTTGTGCTTAACATGTCTTGGGAAATATTTTTATCCATGGCTTATTGAATATTTTATTTATTACCATGAACCAATGTACAGAACTCCTTTCAACTGAAAAAGAATTTCAAAATGAAAAGCAAAAGGCAGTGGGTGCATACAGCATCAGTGAAATTATCTTCTTCATAGATGTTAAACCTAAAATCTGGACTTTGGGAGCTCCTCACTAACACCAGCTGAGGGATACTAACCTGTGAAGCTAATATGTCGACTGCACTGTGTGATATATTACATGGGTCAAATTCAACACTTATGTTACATTCTCTCCGTTTTGCTCAAAGTCCTTTATAGCCATTTTTGGTCTTTTGTGACTTTGAACAGCCTTTCTAGGCTGAAAATTCTGTCTCCATCGTCGTATTGTCTGGGATGATCAATTCTGACTACCAAGGGAGAATATTGTTGCTGTCATACAGTAAAAGGCTGAGATGTAAGTATGGTTGACTCTGTGCTTACCATTCCCTGATGTAAAAGGTATTGAAAAACTTATGATGCCACCCATTTGGATTTTGAAGGGCTCAAGTACCAAACATTTTGTCAACTGACCAATTCTGGTATAGACTGAAAGAAAGAAAAAGCTGGAACCAGTGACAAGACATGGAGGAAAGTCAAAGGCCTTGGGACCAAATTTAAAAGTCTCTGTAATATCCACCTGGATTTAGCTATTATACACCTGTTGTTGGCAGTTACCAAGATCCTAACATATCAATTCTTCCACCACCTTTAGACATACAGTGTTTGATGATGGTTAAATTTCCCAATAGTCCACGTCCTATAAAAAGGTGAGTAGTACAGAAGTAGATTATGATAAATTGGATTTGGAAAGGTACTAATGTACTAACATACATTGTTAGTAACTGTGTATGTTTTAATATGTAAACAATGTTGTATAAGGCACATTTGGAAATATACATATGGGAAGGTACGTGTGTGAAGCAGCAAAGAATGTACTGAAGATGACAGTCATGATATTATTGAATCTCAACTGCTAGCTAACTACCTCAAGGTATGCAAGATACAAGTAGAAATGTGGGTTTAAGGGGAGTGACATTTAATTTAGTTTTGGCTTGCTGAATCTGTGGTACCTGGCTTCTCCCAGGTGTCACTAGTGGTAAAGAACCTGCCTGCCAATGCAGGAGATATAAGAGACGCAGGTTTCAATCCCTGGGTGGGGAAGATCCCCTGGAGGAGGGCGTGGCAACCCACTCCAGTATTCTTGCCATGGGCAGAGGAACTTGGTGGGCTACAGTCCACAGGGTCACACAGAGTCAGACACGACTGAAGCAACTTAGCTTCCATGCACAGAATGTCCAGTTAAAGATGTAATATCAGTTTTATCAATGCAATTCTATTGATGTCATTCAAAGAAGAGTTTAGGGCTGGAGGCATAGATTGGAAATATTCAATGTACAAACACATCTACCTATGTTGATGAAATCTTCCAAGGAGTCTCAGTAAAATGAGAAGAGGAAGAGGATACAACTTAGGAGGACTGAGATTTAAAAGACTGGCAAAAGTGAAACTGTCCACAGAATATAGGAACGCTAATTAAAAATGATGACATAGAAACTGCAAGAAAAATGTTTCAAGAATGGAAGAGTGAAAATGATATCAGAACCTACAGGAAAAAGTCATAAGAAGGCCACCAGTACCCTAAGGAGAGGGAGGTGTCATAGAATGAAAGGGGTGATTAACAAAATTCACATTTTCATACGTTTAACCATGAAGTGAAGGAACAAAACAGAATAATGGCCTCATTCAGATGAAGAGTAGAAGACAAGTATACTGGAGACTGATGACATGACTCAGTTTCGCCTTGACGTCCAGAATTCTCATTGCTACCAAATAAATACATACGTTCACTAATCGCTTGCAAAGTTATGTTTATTTTTTAGATCCAGTCAATCAAAGAACAAAAGACCTCATAATGATAACTCACTTTTTGAGCAATATGCAAATGTTTAGTTATTCTCACAATTTAGTCATTATTTTTGTTCACTTATAAAATAAATACCTGGTCTGTTACAATGGGAAAGGTAATGCCATTTATTATTAACTGACTGTTGAAGTCGTAGACTGTTGACATATGTCTAAACAGGAACATGTAATGATATGCCTGTACCTATAAGGTATTGTACCACCATCAGGACAGTCAAGATCAATTTCCCTATACTCATAGTTTTCTTCTTGGCAGCAAAGGCATGAATTTTTCAACTGAAAGAGGTCATAGTCATACCTAAAAGAAAAAAAAGTTCAGTAATAAATATTTTCAGAATGCTTTCTGAAATAAATTGACATCAATGCTCAGATTCCAATTGTCTAAGTGATTTAGCAAGTCTTCCAGCCAATTTATTCTTTGCCTTTATTGTATATTTCTGCTATGGATTCATAGTAATTGGTATATAAGACCAAAAAAAGTGAAGACTATAATCTCATAGTTAGAGCAGTATGGTACAAAAATATAAACAAAACATTTTAAAAATATACAATGTAATACCAAGTTATTACTCATATATTAATCTACATGTGAAAGTATACAAAAGGAATAACATGTAATATGTGCTATGTTTAAAATGCAAGTGCCATTTTTTTAAAAAACACTTTTAAGCTAGAGGATTTGCTTGACATCTGTCTGTAATCACTTTATGAAAATAAATACATTTGCCATAAATGTATTATGTCTGACATATAGAAAAAACCTTCAAAATGCTTAATTACTATTTAAAATGCTTATTTTATTTTGCAGGTATTAATATTTTATTTGAATCAGGTCCTGATTATTATATCTTATATAAACATTTGTCCTTGTAAAGTTTTCAAAGCTTGATTTTCTCCACAATGTTACAAACTTAACATGCAGGACACAAAGAGAAACTTACTTGATGGTTTTTTTGCATTCCCCTGTGCATCTTGCCATCTTAACTTTTTTCTTGCAACCATTGTAGTTAACAGTCACATTCACGGGTGAAGATCTACAATTAGGTTTACCTAAAACAAAATGGAAAACAGAATCAGAAATGAGGTTTAACATTAACAATTGCTAAGTCTCAATTTTCCTAATCACAAAGTAGAGAATAATAACAAATACTTCACGATGGTATGGAGAGACTATCTCAGCACCCAGCACAAGGTACCAGGGTAATACACAATAAATATTAGTATTATTCTATTATTACTATCATAGGAGAAGGGGAAAGAAAAGAAGGAAAAGAGAGGGAAGAAGGTAAGAGAAAGGAAGAAAGAGGGGAGGAGGCAAAAAGGGGGGGATGGTTGTTTCACACATCTATTAGCTCAAATTGCTGATCATCTTTATGCTCTAATACAACAATTTACAATATAATTTGCCAATGTTAGGAGAGCAAACAAAACTTTTTCCATGCAAATTAAATTTTCACCCTTGTAAACATCACTGGTTTTTACTTGGAAGAGTGTTGCAACCAACATGAGTAAGAAAATATAATGCATTATATTAATCATCGGTATGCATATGGGTTAGATTACTAGTTGTGTTAAAAACACAGGAGATTTTGTATTAATGATCTGTCATTTTGTTTTAAGGAAACACTAAATTTCTGCTAACAGTTTACATTTTTTTCAGATGTGGAATTTAATTTTACTTACATGTATAGCAACATTTTGTTGAATCATAGACTCTGTCTTCCTACAGGAGTCAGAGAAAAAGAAAATGACTGAGAAAATCCTGTATTTTTCTATAAACAATATAACATTTGTTAACTTATTGAAATAGCATTACAAAGGGAAGAATAGAACAGATAAACATGCAGATCTCAGATCCAGTCAGCACAGAGAGGAAAGCACAGTGATAAAAGTGAGACTGTTAACACCAAACTTTTCAACAGTGGGTAGAAATGGGAAAATGACACTTAAAACTAAATTCATCTTTAAAATAAAATGCCCAAGAATAAAAGAATACCCCTCCCTTAATTGAAAAATATACTTTAATAATGACACTACAACTCAACACTTAGGTTTCTCACAAGCAAGATTTGTACCTTACATTATTATAATCTCAAACTTATCACTGTCTGAAGTAAAAACTCAGTAAATGTTGAAATCCAAAGTTTGCGGTCTAAAATAAAACTTTATGTTATCAATTATATCTTCAGAAACAAATTAGTGAAATTTAAAACTTCCTTAATACTTTACGCTTAAGCATTCATTAATGCAAAACCCTCATCCTATTTTCAGGGGATAAAAATTGTGACACAAAGAGCAATCTGAACTGTACATACTTATGTGATTCTATTTTAAAATGTGTTCTTTTATAGAAAATTATTAACCTGAAGCCATGACCTTGAAAAATACTAGCTTTTTGTTGTTGTTGTTTAAAATACAGCAGCAGTCTTTCTACAGTAACTTACTTCTGGAATAGCACTAGATTAAGTTTTATAGAGCCTGAAAATATATATTTGATATAAAAAGTATAGTTGGCAGCAAAAGGTAGATGACATAACTGGAATGAAATCTGTAAGAGATTTATGTTTATTGCGAGGCAAAAGCTTTTACAAATAAGGAATAAGACTAGTTGTATTTATATTTCTCATAAGACGTGAATCTTGTTGCTTGTTACTTAAGAAGATGACTTACTTCTGCACACCAGGTCTGCTTGGGGCAGTCTTGAACCACGGCGATGAAACCAGTGTTGTGGCAAGAGTAAGAGATACACGGGTTGTTAGGGTCAGCAAATGAAGCACCAACCTGGGAGGTGGGGAGGAGGAGGGAACTAATGATTATTGATCTTCATTTCTGTTTCAAATTTGTAATGTTTCATGAATTTCCAGAGACGCTTTGAGCCATTAGATTAATATTTAAGAAAAAGTAGGTTAAAGACTTCCATGAATAATCAAAGATCTTCATTGAGGGCACAGAATGTGTCAAAGATTTTCAATCCTCAAATTAAGATTCATCTATTGTGGTTCTATGATATTTTTCAAGGATTTAAAAAAATCCCACAAGATATCTTCTACCTTTGCTTATGTTTTCATGCTTTTAAAGCTCTCTAGATTGCTACTCAGATTGCTTTATAATTACTTTATGTACAAAATTCAAACATCAGTTTGGGAAATTCCATTTATATCAGGCCCTTGAACCACAAAGTGAACTTTCAGGTAAGCTCGAATTTTATTATTTCAACTGTTTTGCATATAAATGATTAGAGGTACAATTTTGCTTTGTTCTTTAAATATCCTCATGTTTTATATTCCAAAACTGTCATAGATTTTCATCAGATCACCTTTAGAAACTAAAATTTAAGAAGCCTGAGTAGAAATGTGAGTATAAGAAATGAGTTACCAAAGTAAAGTGAAAGTCACTCATTCCTGTCCAATTCTTTGAGACCCCATGGACTATACCATCCATGGAGTTCTCTAGGCCAGAATACTGGAGTGGTTAGCCTTTCCCTTCTTCAGGGGATCTTCCCAACCCAGGGCTCAAACCCAGGTCTCCTGCATCGCAGGCAGATTCTTTACCAGCTGAGCCACAAGGGAAGCCCAGGAACACTGTCGTGGTTAGCCTATCCCTTCTCCAGTGGATCTTCCCAACCCAGGGATTTAACCAGGGTCTCCTGAACTGCAGGAAGATTCTTTACCAACTGAGCTATCAGGGAAGCCCCAAAGTAAATTATTAAATTAAATTAACTTTAACCAAGTTAAATTATTATTAAGTTATAGGCTCTGTTTTATGTATTTCCTAACATACCACATATTTTAGTCTAGATTTAGTTCTTGTAATATTTAGTGTCACCAGTTCACATGTATTATTAATTTGAGAATCATCTGTTTTTTTATGGCTTTCTGATACTTTTTCTAAAAAGTTAAATTACTTTCCAATATGTCAAATAAGTTGTCAGATCAGCCCTGAATATACTGTGTTATAATATCCTCATAATGGAGTTCTGATTTTTTTCCTATTTGATCTCTGACAATTCAGCCATTAGATCTTTCTGATTATAATTACAGTTTAACTCTGTTCATTGATTTGAATGTTATATGTCTTCTCCACCTGGGGAAACCCATGAGAAATTCTGTTCAGCAGCTCCATTGTTAGATTAATGACCAAGAATATTGTTGCCCTTTGAAGCAAGTTGTGGTAGATGTTACATTTGACCTTTCTTTTGAAGTGAATATGGGTAAAAAATGAATGGATTCCACTCCACCATTACATATGATTTTTTTCATATTAGCTGAGACACTCTGCATTTATTCTTAATTATAATAATAAAAGTATATTAAAGTAGAAATAACTTTACCTCATAGTCATTATTGTTAAATAAACATGTTCTTGGTTCTGAAAAACAAATACATATTTTACCCTAAGACAAACATTATAAATTTTTTATTTATAAAACAGAAATTGTATATGAGATCATATTTACCAACAATAAGGCAACATTATAAAGTTTCTTCCCATAACACCATCATCTCCTTTTAATCTACTGATTACATTCATAACTGTTAATTCTAGGTTTCTCTTACTCAAAAGATAGTAGGTTTTAAGAGGCAAATATTGATTCTGTTATTTGTCATACCTATCAACCATTTGACTCAGATTAGTAGCTCAATAAATATCTCTTGAATATATGAATAAGTAAACAACTATTCAAATCAAATAATGCATTATATTGCTAAGAAAGTAGATCTTAAAAGTTCTTATTTCAAGAAAAAATATTGTAGCTATAGGTGGTTTAACTAGACTTAGTGTAGTGATCACTTTGCAATATATATACATACATGTATATATATATATATTATATATATATATATGGAATCATTATGTTGTATGCCTGAAACTAATACTGTTTTATGTCAATTGTGTCTCAATAAAAATAAAGTAGAAAAGAAAGCAATGTATCATGACTACATACCACAATATCCAATTTCACAGCAGGTATCATTATCTTTGAACTTTACAAGTCTCTCTTCGGGCTTGCATGTGGGTGGAGAAGGACACTCCTTGAGTTTGCAGTCTACAGTCTCTGCATCAGTACAGGTGCATTTGTGGCAATTGGCAGTCCATGTGTCTCCAGGCTACAAATACAATCCAAATTTAGACTTCTATTCAAATATACGAATGACAGCAAATTTGTGTTAAAGTAGAGACAAATTGTGTACTTACTGACTTCTTTTCTCCCAGTGGACCATAACAAGCTGTTAGCATGAAATGACAAATGCTAATTAAATTTGGCAAAATATAACTTTCTGCTATTTGTAGATAACCACCAGGTTGACCAAACCTGAATTGGCACTAGGATTTCAGAGATATATTGTGAACAGTTGTCAGGTGCCTTAAGGTAAATCAATCACATCCACCTACTTTGAGCAAACTGTCCCTAGCAGCATATATATATTTCCTAATTTTACACTCCTCAGCAAAGAATAAATCTCTCCTGTCAGTAGTCAATAAATCTATGGCTACTGTTCACCTTTTGTTTCACTTTCCGACTTCTGCCTTCACAATCCCACAAGTCACCAAGACCTCATAATTATCAGTCTAAAGGGCTCTTTATCAGTTCAAGTTCCCTACAATAGCTAACATTTTAAAACTCTCACCTTGAAAATATTCCTCCTTCAGACTGACACTCTGAAATTCCTCTCTATTAGCAGATTTTTCTCATTCCTCTCATTTTGTCTCTATTTCTTTCCTCTGATACTTTTCTCCATCTTTACAGCATCCACTAAATGTCAACTTCAGTTCACTTCAGTTCAGTCGCTCAGTCATGTCTGACTCTTTGTGAACCCATGGACTGCAGCACGCCAGGCTTCCCAGTCCATCACCAACTCATGGACTTTACTCAAACTCATGTCCATTAAGTCGGTGATGCTATCCAACCACCTCATCCTCTGTTGTCCCCTTCTCCTCCAGCCTTCAATCTTTCCCAGCATCAAGGTCTTTTCAAATGAGTCAACTCTTTGCATGACATGGTCAACATATTGGAGCTTCAGCTTCAACATCAGTCCTTCCAATGAACATTCAGGACTGATCTCCTTTAGGATGGATTGGTTGGATCTCCTTGCAGCCCAAGGGACTCTCAAAAGTCTTCTCCAACACCACAATTCAAAAGCATCAATTCTTCAGTGTTCAGCTTTCTTTATAGTCCAACTCTCACATCCATACATGACTACTGGAAAAACCATAGCCTTGACTAGATAGACCTTTGTTGGCAAAGTAACATCTCTGCTTTTTAATATGCTGCGTAGGTTGATCATATCTTTTCTCCTAAGGAGTAAGCATCTTTTAATTTCATGGCTGCAGTCACCATCTGCAGTGATTTTGGAGCCCCCAAAAATAAAGTCAGCCACTGTTTCCACTGTTCCCCCATCTATTTGCCATGAAGTGATGGGACCAGATACCATGATCTTAGTTTTCTGAAT